TGTTGCAACATATGTTGTAACTAATTTTAGCTTATGTTGCAACATTTTGTAAATTTGAAATCAATTGCTGTACCATCATTAAGCATGCCACAGAAAATTCAGACTGTTATTGCAAAAAAAAGAAGTCTGACTGAATACTAGTTACTTAATACGAAATGTAAGCCATAACCCAATGATGAGTTTTGGACTTATTTTTTAATTTTAAATATTTTGAACAAGTTTTGGACATATGAAATTGTGTCCAAAACCTGTCCAAAACTGTCTAAAATTATCCAATTGCCCAACACTGCTATAACCATATCTAAATAAAATATTATTTGACCTTTTATCATTAATGCTAAAAATTTTAAGTTTTATATTGGGTGAAAAAGTATTCAGTAACTTATAACCACCCTTTGTATTTCATTGTATACTTTTTTGATTTTATATAATTCTTGTACAATAAAATATGATTGGTTGTAATTACTTTCAAACAGTACAGTTCATCTGATCATATAGTACAGTTTATACTGTATGTATACTTTTTTCATCCCATGTGACTGAAACTGCAGATCATTTCCAAAAATGGTAATCCGATTTTTACTGGAAAAACTTTTTTTGTTTTATTAATAAAAACTTATTAAAGACGTTATCTAATCTCAAAACTCATGCTTTAACCTAATTTTATTTGCTCTGCAAGTTTACTTATAGTATAAAGTAGCTTTTAAATGCCGATTTTTGTAAAATTAATTATTTTGAAACGTTCATATTAAAAGTCAAAATCCTTGTCCAAAACCTACTTTTATTGTCTAAGTAAACTTGTAGATCGGACAAAAATACACATAATACATAAGTTTTAAAAAATATATAACATTTGCGCCCAAAGTTTTATTCTTTATTTTTAATGATTATCGACAAGTTGGTCACGTGGGGTGAAAAAAGTGTTGGTAAATACACTGATTTGCCGATATCATGTGACCATATAATTACTTAATTTGTCACCTCTCTTTTCGATGTGAAATCCTTATTTGCCACTTATTATTTGTCACGTATTAGAATTAATTTGTGATAAGTTTAGGATTAGGGTTGGGTAATTTAGATTAGTAAAAGTTAGAATATTTACCATCAAAATAATCGATATATTTGCGGAGTTCCATTATCTAAATGATGTAACTCACCCGTGATGAATGGTTAATCTAATTTAATTATATAGATTTTGTCGAAAATAAAGTTCGAATCCTGCATACTTTTTAAAGATAGTAATTATAAACAAATAGATATCATTCTAAAAAAAAAAAAATTGACATGTGAAACGTTATTTATTTTCCGATCTAATTTTCCGGCAATGTAGATCGAGATCACTTTTTTTTTCACACACGCGTTCACAAATAAATCATTTTAAAAAATTCCTGTACTGTGTTCAATTAATTTCTTTTTAAAGAAAATAAAGAAAAAGATCTTTTTCTTATAATTAATCTTATTGTAATTTGGGTAATTTGTCAATAGTATTCATAGTTTTTTGTTCTTGAATATTAAAGGAAAAAAAGTGACAGAGTATAAAGATAGAGATCGTAAATTTCGATAAAGAAGGTAAGTTAACTACGTATGTTTTTTTTTAAAAAAAAAATTTACTATGTTGTTCTAATCAATGTATGTGGGAAGGGAGGTAACCATTAAGGAATGTGGGAAGAGGGAAAAGTTTTTTGATGAATTTTTGTTTTTTTAAAATAAGAAAAATAAAAGATGTACGAAAACATAAATTATAAAAATCAATTGAAAGTATTTTTTTTTTCATATGTGTTTGTATTTACATAGGGAAAAAGAAAAAAATAAATAAATATGAGAAACTTATGATTGATTTTTTTTTTTTTGATTAATCAAAAGAGAAAAAAAGAAGAGAAAAAAACTGGGAGAGAAAATTACATATATCTTAAAAAAAAAAAGAAGACAGTCATAATTATTTAGGAAAAGTCGATAGGAAGGAAATTAAAAAAAATATATCAAAACGATCTTACGTAAATATGCGAGTAAAAGAAGTTGAGGATCTATGGAAAAAATGGCCAATTTAAAAGATCTTAATCAATGTTTTGTTCCTCACGTAGAATCCATTTTAAATTCAAAGGGTGATGTTGAGTAAAGGAGGATCCTACTGTTGTGGTAACAGTAGGTGGAGGGTTGAAAAAAGGATGATCTCGAATTTGCCATGATTCATTAGCGCGTTGCGATGAATAATGTGAAATGGATGTTTTTTGACCGAATATGTATTTACCCATGGAGTCGATCGTAGGTATTTGTGAAATTTTTGCGCCATTCAAGCCCAAATCACCATTAACTGGCTCGCCAAAGCAAATGTTACTATCTTTGGGATCACAAAATAAAGGACTATGAATTATTTCGTCAACAGATTCGATTGAATTTGAATTCGATGTATTAGGAAATGAGCCAGGTTTACGTTTATATGTCAGCGATAGATTATTTTCTTTGAACTGATTGAGCTGTCGTACTACTTTAATTTGGTTAAATTGGGGCTGTTGCTCGCTATATGAAATTGTGGGTTGATGAATATAAATTCCATTAGGTGTTTGATTTACATCATTCATTATGGCGTCACATTCATTCTGACTATCTTCGATTATGGCTTGATACATTGCAGAACCAACAATGCCTCCATAACGTGTATCTGAATCTCGAATGTTAGCGTTCTTCATCGATTCGTTCCTTGTAGACCTAGAAGAATCAAGCTTTTTTCTTAGCATTTCCACCTCATCCCTTAAACTTTTAATTTCATTTTGAGCAGCATTATAAAGCCTTTCAAGATCTGAGACTTTACTTTCCAAATTTTTTGTGTAATTCTCGCGCCTTTGACGAAAAGCTCTTTGGTTTGCCAAATTTTGTATATGTTTTTTCTAATTGAAATTGAAATTTTAAAATTTTAGGTTAATTATGTGTAATAAACCTTAATTATAAAAAAAAAAAAAGATCACAGCAAAAATCATTAAATTTGTTTTAAAAATATTTTTCGATTTTATTATAATTTATATAAAAAATCGGTATACATTTTTAGGAGTGCTATGAAATAAGGTATGGATCTAAATAACCTATTTTAACGAATTAGTTTAACGTCCCTCCTTCCCCTCTAATTTTAAATCCGATAAATAGATTTTATCCACCCTCCTCCCCGAGGAGGGGACGTTAAACTAATTTAGTCTAAATATCACATGCAATAGCGCGTACCGTAGAAGGCATCGTCGTTAGTGGCTTTCTTCCTCGTTTATTTGGTATTGGCTTGCCAATAGGATTAATGTTTATAGTTTGTTCTGTCAAACAAAGATCACAAAGTTACGTTAGGAATGTTTTTTGCATTATATAATGAGAATCTGGCGCAATTATATATAATTTACAAAATAAGCACTCGATTAGATGGAAAAACATTGGTCTTTGACCGATATTTCCACCTTAACAAACTGTATTATATTAGAACAAATTTTCAATCAAATGTTGATCAAAACATCTAATAAATCTTTTGTTTACTTATGTGTAATTATTTTTGCTTACAAATTTTGTTTAATTAAGAAAAAACGAGTTTTTTTTTTTTTTTGATGTGAAATAATAAACATACTTACGACACGGAATAATGTTCAGTGACGAAGGCCATTTGTTCGTTGACTTTGTGTTAAAGGACGAAAAAGAGCAATGGGGTTTGGGCAACATTTTGTTCACATCCATTTCGATGACGTAAGTGTGTGTAAAGAAAGACTGGAAAGGAGCAAAAAAAAATATCGTTGCACACTTTATTTTCATGACTTCAGACTCCATTTTATAATGTTATACATTCTGTCAAATGAATATTATTGGATCCTTTCTAGAACGTAGGGAAAGCCTTTAAGAGCCAATGATGTTGGTAGTAAATGACACATTTTTGAAAATCTATATAGCCGATAGTTTGGTAATTAAAAATACAATACTTACTGCATAATTTATACAAGGAAAGAAGGCTGTTGAAAAAATTTGTTATAAACGTGTATAAATAATTGGTGAAACTTTTCATTTCAATTGTATGAATTTCCTGACAAGTATATAAAAAAAAAAAGTGTCAATAATTTTTCCGTCAAAATTCAAAAAAATATATTTTTTTGATATGATAATATTTATTTAAAAAAGTATCAAGGATAGGAAAAAAAAAACTCATGCGGAAAATTTTATGCAAAGCAGTTATGATTTTCATTTTTGTGTAAGTCGTTATTTGATTTACTACGCGGTCGTGGTTGTTATCTTAAATTTAATTCGTTGCAGAATCATTTTTTTTTCCTCAAAATTTGGACGAATTTAGCCTTTTCTAACGCAAATACATAAGATTATTATATGCCAAATTACAACCGCATTACATATTGGCAAATTGTTGAAAATTTTATCTTTTAAAGGAATTCATTGTTTTTTTCTATTGTGTTAAATTATGCTTATGATACCTTATTTATCATTATTTAGAATCCTTATATCCTAATCGGATAAATTTAAAATTAAACTGCAACTTGTTTACCAATAACAAATCAATTGTGTAAAACGTTTATAATAAAGGATTGAAACGTGTTAAATCGAATGGACGTTTTTGCATTGTATTACCACTGTGGCAGAGCAAATTTTTTTTTTTTTTTTTGTTTATTTTTTTTTTCCTCCTTTCCTCCATATATCATTTTTCCTTATTATTTTTTTTTTTTGACGCGAATCTTTTTTTCGAATGGTTTGTTATAACAATAACAAACAGATTTTTTTTTTACTACATTCATTATATTCATTATCAAATTTTTTTTTTGACAGGTTTCGTTGTACAATTTTCCCTTTGAAGAAATTGATATTTTTTTTTTTCAAATGGTAAACAGAAATTTGGTTTCACAAAAAAATGAATTAGGATTAATTTGGAAACGACAATAATATTTTTGGTTGACAATTAGAAATTATCCAAAATTAAACATTTCACATGTGAATCATTGCAAATACAAATAAGTTCCCCGGGATTTTTTAGTCTTGATTTGACGATGTCTGAAGTCTACATGTTGTGATTTCTTTTAATTTACAAGTAATGTTTCAAAGTTTAAAATCTAGATGTAAATTTTTTTTTTAAAGTACATAAGATTTATTGTATTGTACTTTAATAATCACGTTTTTAGCAACTATTTATATTACTATATATAATAAAATTTTTAATTCAATCACGGAAAAAAATTTTTTTTCTTTTATTCGAATTCTTTGTTATTAAAGCACTTGGATGTATCTCAGTCTGAAATATTCCAAAATGTTATTCATAATCTGTAACCACTTAATAAACTAATTACTTTGATGTTATCGGGATTCGAGGAATTTGTCATCACATCATAAATTAAACGCGTTTATTTTAACGTTCTTGAAATTCCTTCTTTGAATTAATCAGAGGCGAAACGTGTAATCTTTTATATTAAACCTATTCATTTCTCCCAATCGTAATTAAAAGATTAATCATCATAAATGACGACTAATATATATTTATAGATTCGAATTTTTAATTTAAACATCTATCTCTTTAAAATCACATGGGTTGGTTCTAGTTCAATGAATCAATCTTAATCTAATCTAATCTAAATGCAAGGAAAATGATTTTTCTTACACACGTTTTGATACAAATATCACCCTCCTGCAGAATTCCAAATTGGTTGTCCTACGTCAAATTCGATATTAAACGTGATGTAGACATCTTTCTGTTGAATAAGGATTCATTCATAATTACATAAGTATTTTATGAAAGAGATTATTGATAATTGTAATATTAAGCCTGAACAATTTTATAAATGTCGACTTCTTTAATTAATCCTTGCATTTTGTAATTTTTTTTAAAGAAGAATCGAATCTGAACGCTACAATAATATTGGTAAATAAATCATTATTATTGACATATTAGACATTTAATGTATCTAAATTTTTAATGTTTATATTTAATAAATTATTATACATTATTTCGATTTAGAAAATTTTTAAAAAAAGAAAAATGGGAATTAAAAAACCCGTCTTAGTTGAAAACTTGGTTGTATTTAATACGGAGAGATTTTGATAAGTTAATTTAATTTTTTACTGATTTGATTACATAATCATTTATTATTATTTGATAAACCTATTTCTTTAGTTCAACTAAATTTCTCATAATAAATGTTAATATATTTTGCCTAATGAAATTTTAAAGTAAAAATACGTTATAATTGTTTTTAATTGTGCAATCACAAATTAAATCTTTTTATTTTATTAAATCATGAATTAATCCGAAAAAAATAAACTTTTTGCATACATGCTTAAATCTTACATGCACCATACATGACAGATTTTAGGGTATCTGTATGTCACCAACAGATAAGAGGAAGAATTTATCAAATCGTAGATAATCCCGTTATTGCAGCTACCAATTTCGGATATTTTACATATTATATGATCTTTATTATGATAACTGAGAAATGTTAGATCGCGCATCATCTTGCTTGACTGTTTAACAATTTAAAGTTCCAGTTTAAAATAAAAAATTACATAAATGATATTCTTGGCTTATATTCTATATACATTAAAAACTCGGCGTATATTTACAAAAAAAAAATAATAATTTGTGTCAGCTTAACCTTCGCCAAATTCCCATACTTTATTATAACAATTATAAAATCTATCATTTTCTGTACATAAATCTTACAAATAAATAATCCTTATCATAATATTGCTGATGCTTTATATATTATAAAAACTTTGTGCACACATCTTGCACTACATAGATGAAATAATATGTACACAGATAATCTCGGAAAATTTAATATCATAGATATTGAAGTTCGATAGAAAAATTCGATAGAAATTAAAAATACAAGATATAAATGTTATATATCTTCGAGAAAAAAACACCCCCCCCCCCCCCACCCCCATTTAAAGGAATGATTTGCACGTGATTTAATTGTTGATGGCGCAGCTTTGATTTACAATTAATTCAAAACCTTTAAATTTCCGATTCTCTAATAAGAATTTTACATAAGACCCCTTGCTCTGTGTGATTTTTCGCTAAAAGGTTCAGAATTTTATTATCGACGTACGGTAGGACGGTGATATAATTGAAAATTTTCATACGTAATTGTTAGGAGTTAACTTTAATGTTTGATTGATAGGATTAGGTTAAATCTGTTTAGTATGCAAATATACTCACGTGAAATATTATACTTATTTGGTCGACCTTACTATATATAAAACAAGGTCATTTCTCCTATTTCTCCTTGCTACTTTTCAAGTTAAAATGTTATTTGGTAGATCAAGTTAAAACATTAATATTAACAACAAATTGAAGATCACGTGAAAACTTATAATATAAGTTTAATTTTTATTAATGCTGATAGTAATTTAATCTGATTAATAATTATATTTTTACTTTTTTTTATTTTTTAAATTTAATAGACATTATTTTACAATTATTTATTGAAAAATTAATAAATTTAAATTAGTTTTTTCTTATTTTTTTAAATTTTAATAATTAAAACTAGAAGTTATGATATGCAATGAATTTCATTTCTATTAAGCATTGAATTAAATATTTTATGTTAATATAAATAAATTAATCTTATAATCAATATTATTCATATATGGGAACTTGTTAATAAAAAGGAAGGAAATCTAAAAAAAAAAAAGTTTTTATGAGTTAATGTTAAATCTGAATTTATTTTACTAAAAAAATCATATTTAACATTTAACATATGGGAATGTTTCCAGTAAAATCAAGTCATGAAACATAGTAAATCATATGATCCATAATGTGATTTTACTGGAAACCCTCCCATATGAAGTAAAATTTTAATTTTTTTTAGATTTTCTCCTTTTCTATTGATAAGCTCCCATATATATCAATTTTGTTATATTTGTAAAGAAATTAAATAAATTTTGAAATATAAGAGTTTTTTAGTAAGAATTTTATTTAGTTTTATGAAAAAAGTAATTATTAAACATTTAATATATTCATAAATAAAAAGTATTTGACTTTTATTCTAATCAATAATATTTTTCAAGTATTAATTTATCTGTAATAAAAACAGAAAGATGTAATAAAGCTAATGGTTACTTTAACCAATCAATATAAGCTTGATCAGTAAAGAAAATTTCATCCTTAAGAAACAAAAATACTTCAGATAAAGATTAGCCTTGTATTTTATATATTTTAAGAGAAAACACAATCTGCAAAATTGATACTTACTTGATGGTTTTTCATCTATCAAAAATATAGTGATTTCTTTTTTAATTTTAATATCAATAATTCTATCTTTTATACTAAAAGTAATCCTTACTTACAAAAGTTCTAAATTAATATTTAATATAACTCTAATTAAATTATTGCTAGTATTTGAAATTCAATATCATAATATATTGTATTCAATTTTTTAAAATTCCACACATTCATAAAATATAAAATTTATTTTTATATAATACTACACATTGTATTTTTAAATAAATAAATAAATATATATATAAATATCTGCACAAAATTTTTATTATAAATTTCAAACACTGATTATTACATATAATTATTCTATTAAATTATTTTTTAGATACATTATTTAAATACCTTATTGCAAAATTAGCACTTGGTCATTTAGCTAGTATTTGATCATTGATCATGACTAAAATAACTAAATATTTTTTCAAGTTTTAGCTAGCCAAATATATACTGTATTATATATATTATG